CGGGGTTTCACCATGTTGACCAGGATGGTCTCGATCTCTTGACCTCGTGATCCACCCGCCTCGGCCTCCCAAAGTGCTGGGATTACAGGCTTGAGCCACCGTGCCCGGCCCCTTTAAAAAAATTTTTAAAGGAACAGGACTTCTACTTTCAGTCAGGATGAATAACAGCAATGGGGTAAACAAGATTTACCCAACTGTTATAAACAACAAGAAAACCGGATGAAATACAGTCATGTGCCACTTAATGGCTAGGATATATTCTAAAAAATGTGTCATTATGTGATTTCCTTGTTGTGCAAACATCACTGGGTGTTCTTACACAAACCTAGATGGTATATAGCCTATTACACACCTAGGTTAGAAAGTGTAGTCTACTACTCGTAGGCTGCAAGTCTGGATAGCATGTTACTGTACATGTACATGTAACAGGTACTGTACATATTACAACTGTAACACAATCAGACAACTGATACAAAATGTATTTGTTCATCTAAACACGTAAACATAGAAAAGGTATAGCAAAAACACAGTATTATAATCTTACAGGACCATCATTATAGATGTGGTCTGTCACTGACCAAAACATCATTATGCTGTGCATGACTGTACATGAAACAATTATTTTCAGACATTAACAAAGGCAACTAGGACTACATTCCCTAAGAGAAACGAAGTAAGCCACATAATCTCCCTAGCTTTCTTCTTAGAGGCAAATTCTGAACTGCAGAACAGGAAGGAGATTCCAAAGTACAGAAGTCTCACTGAGTTATGGAGACACACATCAGAGTTCAGGGAACCTGAGGCAACTGGAAGTTGTCGGGTAAAGTTCTGAAGAAGAGAGAACTACCGCTACAAAAAAAAAAAAAAAAAAAAAAAACCCTCCAAAAATTTAAATAAGGAATCCCTTGGCCTTATTCATGGCTGAATTCTAAAACAAACACACATAAGAGAAACTCCAGCAGGGTGCAGTGGGTCATACCTGTAACCCCAGATACTTGGGAGGCTAAAGCAGAGGATCACTTGAGGCAAAGAATTCAAGACCAGCCTGAGCAATGTAATGAGACCCCCATCTCAAAAAATAATAGAAAAAAATAAGAGGAACTCCAGGCAAAAAGCAGCTGAAAATCAGTCAACTAAACAGTATGCAAAGCTCACACAGGGTTGAGAGACATTTGAGTTCTGAGCAAGTGTACCAAATCCTTGTTAATCATTTGAGGTATTCAAGAGAGATCCTAGAAAGTTCATGCCTTAGTAATAGGGCTAACCTACACACCTATTCTAACAAAGCATAAAAATAAGCCATAAAAGGATGAAAATAAACTGCAAATCACTGCATGCCAGAAAATAAAAAAAGACAATAAAATTTAGACTCTCAAAAATGCAAAATTTATAAGGTCCATCATCCAATCAAAAAGTATTAGATATGCCAAGAATCAGGAAAACATGACCCATAACCAGGAAAAAAACCAGTCAGTACAAATAGAACCAGTATGACACAGATGACAGAATTAGCAAACAGGACATTAAAATAGCTATAATAACTATATTCAGCTATTTAAATGAAAATATGAACATTGTAAGAACCGCAAGATATAAAGAAGAATAAATGGAACTTCCAAAGATCATAAATACATTAACAGGCTGGGCACAGTGGCTCACTCCTATAATCCCAGAGCTTTGGGAGGCTGAGGCAGGAGGACCACTTGAGCCCAGGAGTTTGAGGTTACAGTGAGCCATGATTGCATCACTGCATTCCAGTGTGACTCCTGGAACCGTGTAAGACCCTGACTCAAACACACACACACACACACACACACACACACACACACACGCACATACATGCACACAAACCAGGCTGGGCAACATAGCAAGACCTCATGCCTATGAAACGATTTAAAATTTTAGCTGGGCATAGTGGTGCATGCCTGTAGTTCTAGCTACTTGGAAGGCTGAGATGGGAGGATCCTTTGAGCCCAGGAGATCAAGGTTGCAATGAGCTATGATACTGCTCCTGCACTGCAGCCTGGGTGTCAGAGTAACACCCTGTGTCTTACAATTTAAAAAAAAATCAATAACCAAAGAGAAAACTCGACTGAGTGGGGTTAGTATAGCACATTAGATGTTAAAGAAGAAAATATTACTGTTAACACTGAGAATACAATTTGTCCAAACTGAAACACATAGGAAATAAAAGACTGAAAAGGAAATGAAGAGTCTTAGTGACTTCAGGGCAATATTAAACAGTCAAACAAACATGTAAGAGTTCTATAAGCAAGGGCCAGGACCAGGGTATATAAATAAATATCTGGGCCAGGCACGGTGGCTCATGCCTGTAATCCCAGCATTTTGGGAGGCTGAGGAAGGTGGATCATGAGGTCAGGAGTTCAAGAACCAAACCCTGTCTCTATTGAAAAACATAAAAATTAGCTGGACATGGTGGCTTGTGCCTGTAATCCCAGCTATTTGGGAGGCTGAGGTAGGAGAACTGCTTGAACCAGGACCAGGGAGGCAGAGGTTGCAGTGAGCCGAGATTGTGCCACTGCACTCCAGCTTGGGCTAAAGAGCAAGACTCCATCAAATAAACAAACAAACAAACAATGTCAACAGTTTTCCAAATTTGATGAAAACTGTGAAGACACAACCCCAACAAGCTCAATGAACCTCAAAGGCAAGAAAGTGGAAAACCACAACAAGATACACCTAAATAAAATCCCTTAAAACTAGTGTAAAAATGAAAATTCTTCAAAGTAGCCCAAGGGGAAAAAAGACACATTACAGACAAAGGAACAAATGTAACAACTGTAGATGTTTCTTCAGAAACTATGCAAGCCAGGAAATAATGAGTATCATGGAAGTGCTGATAGGGAAAAAAAAAAAAAAAAACTGGTCACTAAGAATTCTAATCCCAGGGGAAAAAATATTAAAAATAGAGACAAATGTACAATTAAAAACTGTAAGACTTTTAGAGGGGAAAAAAGAAAAACAGGAGAAAGTCTTTGGGACCTAGAGCTAGACAGAGAGTTTTTAGACTTGCCATTAAAAGCAGGACACATAAAAGCAAAAAAATGATAAACTAGACCTCATCAAAATACAAAACTTTTGCTCTGCAAAAGAACATAAAGAGGATAAAAAGACAAGCTATACACTGTGAGAAAATATTTGTAAACAACATATAAAACAGAAAGCTAGTTTATAAAGAACTCTTAAAACTGAGAAGTAAAAAATATATATATCTATATAATCAGAACATGAGCAATAGACATGGACAATTTACCAAAGAAAATATGCAGATGGCAAGTATATGAGGAGATGTTCAATATCATTAGTCATCATAGAAATGCAAACGAAAATTACAATATAATAAAAACCACACATCTATCAAAATGATCAAAATAACAAAGACAACACCAAATACCGGTAAGATATGCAGACACTGGAACATCACACATTACCAGGGGAAATGTAAAATGGGACGGCTAATCTGGTAAATTGGCAGTTTTTTACAAAACTGAAAATTCTGAGCAAAAGTGGTAGAGTAAGAACCTCCAAAAATTCTCTTCCATAAAAACAATGAGAAACTATCAGAAATGTCCAAATGCTACATGTTCAGAACTCTGGAAATGAACCAAAGGCTTGCAGTAATACAGGGAGCACTTATTCAAAGAAAAAAAAATGACTGAACATCAGTAACAACAGTGCATTGCAGGCTTCATGGCATTTTCACTTGCTCTAGTCCTAACCCCACTCTCTTGCTCTGCAGAAACCCAAAAAACCAACAGCCCACTATCAAGGAGAAAAGCAGTAGCGAGGGGGGAGGACCACGTTAGAGTGCTTTCAAAACTTCATTCTCAGAGAACTGCCAAAGATTTGTCTCATGGTTCCCTGCAAGGCCTACTTGCAAGGCTGTCTTTATTCAATCTGACTGGGAGCTTGCCCAGTGCAAAAACCATCGTAAACTGAAACAAATTACAGGCAATTGTTTAACTTCACAGCTGCCTGAAAACAGTTGGAACCCACAACTGACAAACCAGATACTAAAAGGAAAAGCTTTCAAAATGTGGAAACAACCCAAATGTCCATCAAATGATGAACAGATAAACCAGAAGTCATATATCTATTCAGCCATAAAAAAGGAATGGATTCTGATACCTGCTACAACATGAATAAACTCTGAAAACATTATGTTAATGCAGCCAGACACAAAAGGCTATATATTCCATTTATATACAATATTCCATTTATAGAAAACATCCAGAAATAGGCATATCCATTGAGACAGAAAGTAGATTAGTGATTACCAGGGATTAGGGGAAAGTGTATACTTTCTCTTGCTTTTTGGTTTGCTTGCTGATGGAAGCCAGTAGCTATTTTGTGAACTATCCCGTAGAAAGGCCAAGTGGCAAGGAACAGAGGAAGTGCTCTAGCCGACAGCAAGCAAGAAATGGAGTCCTTCAGTTCAACAGCCTACAGGGAATTGAACCTGCCAATAACCACATGAATGAACAAAGAAGAAGATCCTTCTTCAGCTGAGTCTTCAGATGAGACTGCAGTCCTGGCCAACAACCTTGATTGCAGCTTTATATAATACCTGGAGGCAAAGGCACCCAGCTAAGTCAGGCCTAGATTCTGAGGACTCAGAAAATATAATATATTGAAGGTTTATTCTTTTAAAGCACTACATTTGGGGTTAAGTTGTTAAGCAGCAATGGATAATCAACAAAGATGAATATCTGCTTAACACAATAGACTACAGATACCTTAACTATAAAGCCAGCATCTTTCTTAATGGGGAAACCCTAGAGGCATTCCCAGAAGGTCAGAAAGAAGAGAAGGATGCCCATTTTCTCCAGGATACTTTCACATATTCTGGAGGAACTAACAAATGCAATAAGACTAGAGAAAGTAATTAAAGGGATAACAGTTGGAAAAGAAAAAGTAACATTATCTGTATTTTCCAACGTAAGAGTATATCACGAAAACTAATTGAAACAATAAAGATTTCAGCAAAATAGCAGGATATAAAGTTAACATGCAAAAATAAATATTGTTCATTTATACAAAACATAACCAGTTAGAAGTTTAACACACGACAAAATTCATTTACAATAGTAAAAAAAAACCAAAGATTGAATACTTAGTAACAGACTTTAGAAATTTTCAAAACCTAAAGAAAACTATAAAGTACCTAAAGGATGCAAAAGTAGACTAAAAAGATGGAAAGACATCCTTGTTCTTAGAAATACATACTTAAGTATTTTGAGGCAAAGAAAAAGCCATGATGTATGTAACTAACTCTCAAAAACTTCAGAAAAAAATAAATACACATATACATACATACAAAAGAATGAAAGTAAAAACTTGATAAAGCAAGTTTTGGGATCAAACACCACCAAAAGTGTTTAAATGCAATCTAATCAAGAGGAAACCAGTAAACTCAGACATCTACTTTTAAAAGACATTGTTTTTGAAAACTAACATAAACATGAACTGTGTATTAAATTATATTGAATTAATATTACTTTCCTTAGGTGTGAGAATGACATTATGTCTGTAATTTACTTTCAAATCATTCAGCTTGGTGTGGGGGGGCGGGGGCAGAGGGAGACAAGACAGGTAGAAAAGGGAAAGAGAAAGCAAATGTGGAAAAATGTCAAAATTGGTTAAATTTAGGTGAAGGGTATACAGGTGTTCTTTCTATGTTTTTAACTTTCTTGTTAGTTTGAAATTTTTCAAAATAAAAGGATGGGACAAAGGAAATGACGGATGGGGGGGATAAAAGGCTAGCTTTCCTTCCTTGACCTCTTGAAAACCATGCCAAATAACAAAGGGCACAAGAAATAGCAATGCAAACCCTCCTGCAAAAAATTAGGAGGCAGCTAGGCAGAGAGAGAGATACAAGATATCTAAATTTATCTTCTTTAGTGGTAAGTTAATGGATAATTAACACTGGTGCATTAAAAAAACAAAGGCGTCAACAGTATTCAGCATTTGGAGGTAATCATAAAAAAAATCTAAAATGAAGTGTGGACGATGCAGAAAAAAAGACTTTTACTGTATATTTTAAACATTTTATACTATCTGTTCATATCAACTATCACATGTAGTAGTACTAATAACAACAGATTTTCCCAATTACATGGACTATCCAGAAAGATTCTGTAACAAAAGAAAAGGCATTTCTCATCATCTTCACTACCTTGAAGTACAATATTTAAAATACAATATTAAATGATTAAATACTTTAAAATACTACTGGGTTTAGTAGAACCACAGGTCTACCTACATGAATACCATGATCATGATACCAAAAAATAACAAAACATTAAGATGTCATATCCTATTATTTCAAATAACTTAGAATTATTTTCATTCTTGTTTTTAAAAAATTTGAATAAACAGACTCACAGTTCCACAAGGTTTGGAAGCTTCTGAGCAAGGTTTTCTGGCTGAAAATTAAAAACTCAGAATTAAATTTTATTTTTGAAAAATGTCTAAACATTTCTAATTTGTTTAAATACAAAGTACTATCTTTTTGAGGGGTGTAAATTTTGAGAAATGTTAAAATAATCAGCAGGTCTGGGTTTTATTCTTATAGAGACCATACTGCAATTTAAATTTATAAATTTGAACACTTAAATATAATGTCCCTTAGAGCAGTGGTCCCCAGCCTTTTTGGTTCCAGGGACTGGTTTCATGGAAGACAATTTTTCCACAGATGGGGTTGTGGGGGCGGGGGGGGGGGGCAGTTTCGGGATGATTCAAGCGCATTACATTTATTGTGCATTTTATTTCTATTGTTATTACATTGTAAAACATAATGAAATAATTACACAACTCACCGTAATGAAGAATCAGTGGGAGCCCTGAGCTTGTTTTCCCGAAACTAGACAGTCCCATCTTGGGGTGATGGGAGACTGTGAGATTGTCAGGCATTAGATTCTCGTAACGAGTGCACAACCTAGATCCCTCGCATGTGCAGTTCACAACAGGGTTTGTGCTAAGAGAATTTAATGCTGCTGCTGATGGGACAGGAGGCGGCATTCAGGCAGTAATGAAAGGGACTGGGAGCGGCTATAAATACACAGTTTGCCTACCACTCACCTCCTGCTGTGTGGCCCCATTCCTAACAGGCACCAGGTCTGTGAAACAGGGATTGGGGACCCCTGCCTTAGAGAAACCACAGACCTCAAAATCCATTATCATGGAAGAAATAAAAATGTGCTTCACAGACACAGAGGGAAGAACACCATGTGCTGATGCAGCTAGAGACTGAAGTGACACCTGAGGAGCCCTGAGAAGGAACCAACCCAAACCACACCTTGATTGTGAACTTTTTGCTTCAAGAACTGTGAGAGAATACACTTTTGTTGTTTTAAGACACCCAGTTTTTGATAATTTGTCATGGCAGCCCTAAGAGACTAATATATCCTCCAAACTCCTAAATCATGCTCCTCAAGGGAAAGTAAGGGAAAACCGCAGGGCCCTCAGGTGCCCAGACCTGACTAAGCTCCAAATTAACGGGGGAAGCTAGAGCTCATGTGGTCCAAGGGAGTGTCAGACCTGGCCACAGGTCCAGAGATCAGAGATGAGGTGTGATGTGGGAGGTACAGGAAATTGGCTATGGGCAGAAGACAGAAAGACAGACAAACTTAGGTCTCTTACTCAGAAAAAGTCAGAGCCCTGAAAGGGCTGGCCTTTCCATGAAAAGCATCCTAGAACAATTCTACACACAGGTTGAAAGCAGGCTTCTCTCTGCTAGAGGTACTGGGTATGGGAGAAAGCCTCCTGTAAATAACTGAAAACCAGACTGCAGACACACACACACCCCCACATATGTACATATGCATATATATAATCTCTCTTTCTTTCACTCTCGCTCGCGTGCTCTGTCACACACACACACACACACACACACACACACACACACACGGGGTTCAAATTTACACATGCAAAAAGATATGAGTCTAAAGACTGAAGGAGCACACTGGGTCAAAACTAATTTTTCTCATCTACATTCAAGCATACTGTAGGGTAAACTGTATATAAATAACAATGAATCAGGAATGGCTTTTTATAAGACATTAGGTCTGACCCAAGTTCCAAAAGACATAAACTATAAGAGGTTGACATGGAATGGAGAGGAGGGTAGTGCTGGATAGCTTTTTAGGCACAAGAAGCAACATATGAAAAGCCAAAAGAGAACAAGGAACAATTGGGAAACTGCAAACACAATCCATTCTGCTATAACTCCATAACAGCACTCCTGAAGAAATCTTACATTTTCAATAATCCTGTTAGAAAAACAATCATGTCCATAGGAAAAATTTAAGTGTTAGGGACTAGAAAGTAGACTACTTTAAATAATCAAGAAATTTTTCATACAGAAACTTAAATTTTTAACAATGAACACGTATCTTTTACAACTGAAAAAAATTAAAATTGAATTTTAAAATATGGTGTGTATAGTATAGCTGTTATACAATTGATTAATCAATTATATACAATTTGAGATCTAAACACTCACTAGGCCAAATGACATTAGTTTGGTATGTCTGGGTCATTGGGTATGAAGATGTATGATTTTACATAGAATGGCAAGGAACAGATCACTAAGGACTCATATTTTATACTAAGGAATAGCTTTTAAAAAATCCTGAACACAATGGAAATTCACTGGTTTATTTTAAACCAGAAAATGTCATTATTAATGTCATACTGCCATACTGGTGTAAATACTTAGTAACAGTATCTCCAATAGCTTATATACACATATCCTTATCCATTTGTGATAACCAAGTATCACTGAATATGAATATTGTTATGAAGTCAGTGAAGCATTTCTGAGTACCCACTCTGGACAGTACCACTTCTATTTCGTGTTCAAACGCTGAAAGCTATGATTCTTTTTGCACCATGTTTCGACACTGATACATGTAAGGAGGTCCTTCAAAACAAGTCATTTCTCAGATGTTCCTGTGGATCTGTCTAAATCCCTGGAGAGTTTTGATTTTAGTATCAGTATCTCCCTTGAGAATATACACTTCCATTTATGGGCATACACACAAAGCATCCTAGGGAAACTAGGGAACCAGTGGGTGGAAGGCCTTAACTATAACTGTTCCTATAAAAAAGAAAGATTTTTCCAAAAAGTAATGCTGTTTAACTGTTAGACCTTCACCTACTTTCACTGGCTAATATCAATACTGTATCTGGCTAACTCACACACTCCACAGCCTTCCTTTCTGGATGTCCACTTGGCTCATCAAATAGCATTCTAATCTTTCCATGACAAACTAGTTAGCTCTTTTCAGCTGTAGCTATATACACAATTAAGCACTGAAATAATGCTTCTGCTGCCAGTAGTGCGTCTCCATGTCTTTATTAACAAGTAGGTGTATTGGGTTTTTATTTAAAAATAAGCACATTCACTTTGAGAAAACTGCAGTTCATTAGAATAATGCCTTAAAACACATACACACTTAGGTAGAGATGTCCAAAATGCCTGGCAAATAATCAGCCCTTGCACAGGCTGTGACTGACACCTAGTGGTGTTCCATAATATCACTTTGTTTTCTAATACTGTATTTTTAGCAATGTAGCTGAGAAATGCTATACGTTTTAATTTTCATACTTCTATAATTTAGGTACAGCATGTAACAGATTAGACAATGAGAAATTAATGTCAGAATTTTTGTTACTTTGTGGGTAACTAAGCTCTAATGTTGGATTATGGAAGTCACATAAACTAGCGTATCCTAATCCATAGAATTTACAAGCTATTAAGCTTTTTAATGTTTTTAAATTTGAAATCCTGATAAAAGCAATAGTCTTAAAGTGCTTTTCTAATCTATTACTATTATTTCCTTTTTTCACAATTTGAAACAGAAAAGTTTTATCAGATAAACAACATGTACTGAAATACTTCCCACTAAATTACATAAAAACTGTTTTTCTAAATCAAGCCCAGGATTCTCTTCATTAAATCTCATTTATATTATTATCTAAACAACTTTTCTTTACAATAATGAAAAAGTAAACTTCAACAAGCATAGTTAGTATAAAACTTACCCTAAATTTTGAATCAATGATGCTTTACCTTGTTCTTTTAGACTCCACTTAAATGGGAACGTTTTAAAATTTTGTATCTCGGAACAAATACTTCAAGTATGTTGCAAACACCACCACGTTCAGTGCTGTTTTCTGGTGGGCACTGTACAGTGCCTACTTCCTTTCCCTCTCTTTCTGAACACCTGCTAGGACTGTACATCTTTCATAAAGCTGGCCATGGCTAAGGGCTTTGCTTTGGTCAGTGAAATTAAGCCAAAGTGGAAGCCTTGACAAGATTGAGCTCAAAAGACCTCACCCCTCCCACAGTGACCACCAGATGGTGGACGTTTTGTTAGGCTTCATCCCTGAGCAGAGGCCCCAAGCTCTCAGAGGCTAGTACAGTGTAGACAAGAAATATGCATGCTGTTATAAGCCACTGGGACTTGGAGTTTGGCAAAACCTGCTCCATCCTGGCTTCTAACAACACATTTCAGAGTCAAAAAGTAAATGCATTTGGGTTCTTCAGCAATTGTAAAAAGTATAAGAAAGCAGAATGAATTTGGACCACTATCTCATACCATACACAAAATTAACTCAAAATGGATCAACAACTTAAATTTAAAAGCTAAAACCATACTTCATAGAAGAAAACATAAATTTCCATAATCTTAGATTTGGCAATGAATTGATAGACATTACACCAAAAGCATGAGCAACAATAGAAAAAACAGATACACAGGCTGGGTGCAGTGGCTCAAGCCTGTAATCGCAGTACTTTGGGAGGCCAAGGTGGGTGGATCATTTGAAGTCAGGAGTTCAAGACCAGCCTGACCAACATAGTCAAACCTCATTTCTACTAAAAATACCAAAAAAATTAGCTGGACGTGGTGGCGTGCACCTGTAATCCCATTACTCAGGAGGCTGAGGCAGGAGAATCACTTGAACCTGGGAGGCAGAGATTGCAGTGAGCCAAGATCGCGCCACTGCACTCCAGCCTGGCAACAGAGTGAAACGCCATCTCCAAAAAAAAAAAAAAAGTAGATACACTGAATGTCATCAAATATTAAAAACTTGTGTGCATTACAGGACATTACAAGAAAGTAAACGACAACCTACAGAATGGGAGAAAATATTTACAAATCATATATGTGGTAAGGGTCTAGCATCCAGATTATAAAAATAATCCTTACAATTCAACAACAAAAAGACAACTCAATTAAAAAATGGGCAAAGGATCTGAACAGACATTTCTCCCAAGACAATATGCAAATGGCCAACAAGCACATGTAAAGATGTCCAACATCATTAGCATCAGGGAAATGCAAATCAAAACCACAATGAGATGGCACTTCATACCCACTAGGACAGCTGTAACACTAACAAAAAAACAGAAAATAAC